CGCCAAAGCACAATTCTGCCAGCCCCATGTTTCCCCATGTCGATGGTGTGTTCAGGAGAAAATAGAACATTTGCTTTTTTCCTCAGTCTTGAAGACCAAAAGGGTACATTTTTGCCTCATCTGACCTGAAAACCTTCTCCCATATGTTTGCTGGGTGGGTGTGGCTGCTGCTCATTTAACAGCTTGTTTTTAATTTATCTCTGAGTCAGTTACTCCTTTGTGCCATGGATTGATTCTCAGAGATGAATAAGGTACTCAGAATGAAATTTAATAGTGAAAGTTCTCCATACTCTTATCTGCTACATTCCTTTCTGGTCATGACAGTATCTGTTCAGTAATTATCTTGATAAAGATGTATTTAACCCCTTTATTGTCACAAATTGACCTCAAACCACCACAAAACCTAAATGGCTGATGTATAACTTAATGCAAGTCCTTTGGCTGCAGAATCATGCCAAATTCAGCCAATTTGCATATTAAATGCTACAGATTGTCTGTTGAGTTCAAATAAACAATCTGTTGATTAGCAAAACGGGATAAATGTTTTTATTTTTGTATAAACTACATCCTTCTGAATGCAATTAGCATGTATCAGAGCTAGAGGGGGATAAAAATCAATGCATGCCACACTTTTCAGATTTATTTGCAAAAAAACTTCTTTGGAAAATGATGTATAATTTTTATACATCATTACGTGCTACTTTGTGATGGTCTGCAATACTGGCTCCAAGTTACTCGCTCAGGTGTTGAGAAATGCAAACCATTCATACACATGCGCTCTCCCAACAGTTCAACTTTTAAACAGCCGTCTCTCTTACCTTGCTGCTCGCTGCTCCGTGCCGGGGGGGATTCTTGGATGCCCTGGTCATCAGGACTTTTCCGTTTCTTCGACATCTGCCGCTCCCCTGTTCCAGTGATGGACCGATGCGCCGCCGACTCTTGTGTTTATCTACCCGTACAGCTACTGATAGCGCGAGATACGTTCAACCGGCGGGATATAAAACACATTCAACAGTCTTGAGGAAGCGAGATAAGAGATGCGAGGAAATTTCAGCCGCATTCATTCAGATCCCGACTCTGCTGTGAGCCTCTTTCGGCGCGCAAAGTTGCCGAGCACCGGCCAAGCGGGCATCTGGAGACGCGGTAAGGCATGGAGCCGATCAGCTCTTGCAGCTATTCACTAATAATCGGACAAGATGATTTCACAGGATTGTCCACGGCTTATTTTTTCCCCCTTCGTCTTCTTCTAGTCAGATGAGATGGGGAAAAATTGCAACCGAAGAGATTTTGTGGATCACGTGTGTCGCTCTCGGATTATGCTTGGACTCTGGTCAGATGGAAATTACGCACTGACGGCAACTTGTTGATCCGTGTCTATTAAAAAAAAAAAAAAAAAAAAAAAAAAAAAAAAAGAGAAAGAAAAGAAAAAAAGAAAAAAAATACTTCCGTCACTCCGGATGTGATTAAAAAAAGATACTGGACTTTAACATTTCTGTGAGGTATTTTCTTCTTGAATGCTGCGCTGGCGACGTCAGACTCCAAGTCTAATCAGGAATGACGCACGGGAACTCTTGGGCATTTTTCAGTAAGAAAAAAGGCCAGTGTTAACGTAGATTATCTGGTTGCAGTCTTCCTTCTTAGCTACACCAAACCATGTGAGGAGTTTTTCACCTCTTCCCATACGAGCAGCAGGTAAATACGCAACGTCTGTAAAAGTGTGGAAAGAGCCGAAAAGAGCAGGTTCGTCTGTGACTCCCTGAACAAGCCTGATCCTAGTGTCAGAGTAACATAAAAGGGAACAAACAGGCAGCATAGTGTTGTCCTTGGACGAACAGGTTTGTTTTCACTTGAGCCACATTGCAACTTGAGAATAAGCTTTGAATAAATGCAGCAAGACTCCAGAAAAGAGCCAGTGACGCCACTAGTCTGGCTCTTACAAATTGCCCTAATGTCAGTTTTCCTTCCCTTTCGCTGCACTCATCTCTCTAATCTATTTTGAAGAAACGTTCCCCTTTTCAGAGTAAAACTCTACATAGCTCCTCAGATTATTTCTTTGACACGTTAAATTTGCTGTCAGGGGGACACAGATGGGTGCCTGAAGCCTCTCTTTCATTCTCTCTGCTGCTGATTTATTTATGAGCACCCCCGAGTCAGAGGATCGTTTTTCCATTTACTACAGCTGGTTTAGATTTCCGAAGCTGCAGCACCTGCAGTTTCCCTAAAATGTGCAAGTTTGGACGTCAAGGTGAATGTTATTCGTTGCTTTCTTGCAGTTGCATTCATGCATTTGATGCTGGTATTTTCTGAAGGGAAGGTAAACACGCCTTTCTGGCCCCCCCCCCCCTCTAACTCTACCCTCCTCCCATCCCTCATTCTCTGCAGCTGCTGACGTCAAGAAATGCTTGCGTCAATGCGCCGTGCTTTGACTGAGAGCTTTTTTCTCTCTCTCGTTGGGATCATAATGGGATTATTAGGCTTAGTGAAATACCCTGCCTTCCTAGCTTTTATAATTTTTTTTTTGATGAATCTCTCTATTTTCCCTCCTCGCTTTGAATACAGGAAAAAGACATGAGATACATAATTGGCTCCAACAGAAAGGTCGAGTTATTTCCTCAATCTAATGATGATAATGTTTCCTTTGGCTATAAAAGCAATGGCCATAATTTCAGAAAGAACCTACTGAAATAATCATTTTCAATAATGCACCAAGACAACATGGTAATAGGATGAGTGTAAAAAGTAATCAGGAACGCCATACGTTATTCACTTAGTCTCGCTCCACCGTTGAAACCAGATATTTGCACGCACTGTACAAAAACACAGAGAGATTTTATTTTAGATATATTTTACTTGTGTTATTGATTATTTTCTAATCTGTATCTTTTGCTTCCACCAGATTCACATAGATGTTTGCTGGAATTTTGGCCCATTCCTCCTGACAGAACACCTTTCTATACGAGTGATTTGTGCTTTGTGATGGGCAGTGTGTAAATAATTTGGCAGTATTCTTAGAGTCATTGGGAAAATCCAGTTGCTCTGAAGCATTAACTTCTTGACTGATGGCTTTAGATGATGCCGCAATTGGACAAGATGTGGTGAGTGCTGCAAAGTCTTGCGAAGCAATTTTGACCTAGTTTCTCGTGCAAATGTCTTAGCATACTTGAAATAAAAGAAAACTAATTTACAAGTAACTCATGAGCAAAATATAAGAGCTTGTTTTAACTTAATAATTTCTTAATATTGATGGAAGAACTGCTTGTTCTATTGGTAGATTATTTCACTTATAAAAAGACATTTCCCCATGTTATAAATGAAATAATCTACCAAAGGAACAAGCATTTTTTTAATCAATGTTAAGGAATTATTTACTTGAAATAAGCTCCTATGTCTTGCTAAAAAGTTTCTTGTAAGTTAGTTTCATCTTATCTCAAGTCTACCAAGATATTTGAACTTGTACTTGGTAATATTTTGTGTTTTTGCAGATTTTTGTCTTGGACGTTCAGTCAAAAAAACCATCTGCATATTTTTCGTGAAGCAATCTCTTGTCTATACAAACCAAAATATTTGATGCAGTTTGTTGAATGTATGTCACAACAAATTAACACAAGAGGGTCCAACCAGGTACTATTAATGTCCACCAAGAGTAACCAATGTCACTGGATTTACTGGAACAGAGTGGAGTCTATAAAGACTCCAGTGAATAATGTGGGTGATTGGATTTATGCTCTGTTCTCTGGGGACTGCCTGAATGCGGGGGAGGATGTCATAATGTCCCATCGCTGACCTTGATCCCCTGTGCTGAATGGGTTCTTGTGCCTCTCGGACAGCCTTGGAGCACTTCAGACATAAAGCTTCTTTTCATGCTCTGTCAAGCTTTCAGTCGCAGCACATTTGTGCTTCTCCTCAAACGGTAAAACCCGCTGCAGACATCAGCAATGCTGAGTTTTATCTGTTGACAGAGGGACAAAATGTTATCTGAAGAAGGAAAGCAAGGACAGAAATAAACAAAAATTAATGAAATCTTAAAGGTGGCATATTCTGATCAGGCACAACATTATGACCGCCTGATGTTTTGGAGCCAAAGCAGCCATGAGGCATGAACTCCACCTTACCTCTCAAGATGTGTGGTATCCGGCACCAAAATCTATAAACGGCACAAACTCCAGTCCTGTAAATTGTCATAACTCAGCTGAAATTGGTAATAGTAAAGAGGATAGCTTTGTTTTTGTTACGAGTTGTCAGTATCTCCTTACGGTCACTCAGAATGAATTCAGTTTACAAAAAAATTGCAGTAATTCTTGAGGTTAACCCTAACCATTCCTGGAGTAAATATGCATCACTTAAAACAAATAAAAATTCCCAAACACTTTAAGCCAAATCGAAGCCTAAATTTCCTCTCTCCAGTGACAGTTTTTGTATAAATATGTAAACTTGAGATGGTGAGATGATGTAGGATATATAAAAAACACCGAAATGACCCTGAGTCCTAAGCTGAGAGTCAGATAACAAATTCAGCACCAAGAACCACCTGTGGTGTGCAGAAATGTTTTCCTCCCGTAAGTAGAGTGTTCATACCACACAGGGTCAAGATTTCCTGCTCTCTGGTCATGTAAAGAACAAAAACAAACAAAACAGAATAACACTTTGCTTCTGATTGCTCTTTAGACACAAATTTTGCTACAAATTCAACTAAAAAGCATCTGTGACACTAAACATGTTGTCTGGCCAACATGTTTTGTTTGATTATAACTATTTTCATTCATAGAGTTCTTAACACAATAAATGCTCTACTCACAAGTATAGAGAAACATTTCCCCAAGTTTCCAGAGGAACATCTTGACCAACATCAGATATTGTGAGAAGAAATCCAATTAGTTAAGAAAAAATAATAATAATTAAAAGAGTTTTGCATTATGATCCTTCATAAAACTTAGAAAAATATGAACAGTGACAACATCAATCATGTCTTTTCAGGATTTTGATCAACACGTGTTTTTTTCCCAACATTATCATCCCTCTTGCTCTCTGAATGACTGGCTGGTGGTTAAAAGCTGTAACAGGAAACAACAGTGAGCAATTACATTCAGGCCAGACAGACTGTAGAGCATTTTGTTTGTTCAGATAAGAGGGTAATAAACATTCAAATTACACATATAATGATTTATGCCACCACACTGTCTGTTGGAAATTTATGCATGGTGAATTTAAGCACTTTGGTGTTTTTTGTTGTTACTTCTTTATACATTTTTCCCAGACTTGTGTGCCTATTTGCTATTTATCTAAGAAATCCCAAAAGAACATGACAAATAAGCTTTTTTTTTTTTTTTTACTTCATTGCCGTTTTACTGCAGGATCTCCACTTAATGAACAAAATGCTATAAACCTTATCTGCTGTTAGTCTATTGCTAAGTGATGCATTTTAGTTTTATGCTGTTGACAATCATATTGTTTTAAAGATATGCTCTTTATGCCCACTCGTATATTTTTTTTACTTCCATAGTGGTTAAAAAAAAGAAGCAACAATCCACCTCCAGCCATTTCTTACCCAATAAAGTGTGATTTATAAAATATTTAAGTTATTTGTGTTGGGAGTGATAAGGGTGACGATAATTGTAAAACAATTACTTCTTATATTTTTCTGAAATGTCTGGGAACCGATGGCAGACATTAAACATCAATTTGTTTTCTAGCTTGTTAACCAAAAGTGAGTTATTGTTTTTCTGAGCAAAGAGACAAGTTTATTGTTCTGTTATTCATTTATCTTCCATTCAAACTTGTCCTGTCTATGCTGGAGTAGGAGTTGTTCAGTGAGCAAATGGCGGAGAAACAACTTACCATGTCAGAAACACTGTTTATCCGTCGTCATCGAAAGCAATGCTAGCTAGCATTAGCATTTATGGCAGGCTAATGATGCGGAGAACCAGCTGAGCGCAAAGGGGATTGGCCGAGCGGAGCATAAGACCCGCCCCCTGGTTCTGATTGATTGCCTCCGATTTTATCACTGATATGTCTCATGTTATATTGTCAGGATATGTAATGACAGTTTTAACATATATGTATATATATATTGCATCTATACAGTTAATATGTAAAGCTATGGAGTGCCTCAAGACCTGTTATTAAAATAATAATAATATAAACACCCCAATTTGTGGGGAACAAGCAGAACATATACCTGGTTGGTTGGGATTAATTTATAAACAAATTACATTAAATTTAATCTGAGTTCTTCCTATTATTGACCCACAGATTCAAACATTAGAAAGCCAGAATGACATTTTAGTCATCTTAAACACAAATCTATTTTGATGTAAAGAGGAGAAGAAAGAAAAACAACAAATAATAGAACACACTTCTTTTGTTAAGTCACATCTCTCAAAAGGCAACAAAAAAACAAAGCAAAACAAAACAAAGAAAACATTTATTTACAGAGCTTAAAATGATATCCAATATACATCATAAATATTCTTAATTTCTAATTCATGATTTATGATTCCCTGCTCTAAATTTTGTGCAGTTATGCTTAATATAAGCAGATCAAACAGATTAACTAATTTAAAAAAAAAAAAAGCATTTTATTCTTTAGTAATAAACTGAGATTTGTTTAGAGGCTGAGTCAAACCTCCGCTGGTTCTTCTGATAACACCGTGAAATACTCCACACAATTTGTTTAAAAAAGTTTATTCCTTCTTAAAGTAACAAGAGGTTACTCAAGAGAAGGTCTCAATCAATCCTCAATGACCCTCTAATCAAAGGGATGGAGGCGTGACGGGGGTCCAAGCTGAGGGCAGCCGGCCGTGGGGTGAAGCTTCATACTGGACAACGTCCTGCACCTCTGTGCCGGAGCTGCCGTCATACATTGGAGAGGCAGAGGGGGGCGCTGTGGCGGAGTGAGGCAGACTGGGATAGTGACTGGACGATCCTCGGAGGAACTGGGAGCCGAGGCAGCTGCTTAACCCACCGTTCTGGGACACTGGAGTCAGCGGGGAGTTACTCACAGACCACAGGCTGGTGTATTGACTGGAGACACAAACACGCAGCAGCAGCATCAGTATCAGTATCAAATGAAACATTGCAATACGACAGATAAAATCTTTTTTTCTCTCACTCTAATATATTATTAAATCTTATGGTCCAGATTCCTTTTTTTTTTTTTTTTACTTGTTAGGTTATTTATTTACAATTTTGTTGACATAAACAAATGTTTTGAATGAAAAGAAGTTGTTGGAAAAAATATGGCTGTTACCACATCTCTAATAATATTGCACATTTCATATTACTGTTTAAGTCAAGAAATTTTGCGCATTAGACAGTTCTTTTACATGTCATCCATAGCCACGCTGTTGTTGCTGCACCATTTATTATTACACTGTCTTGAGCTGAAGTGGGTAGAGTACCCAAAGATTATACTCAAGTAAGAATAGCACCACTTTCTACAGTTTTACTCAAGTAAAAGTAAAATTTAACCATCCAAGATATTACTTAAGTAAGAGTAAAAAAAGTTTAGCAACTCAAGTATTCAGTAGCTGATCAAAACATAATTTAATATTTAAAAATACATCATCTGACATCAGAAAATATAAAGTTATGTGGAAATGTTGGTATTTTAAAGATTAAAATGAAAATAATTTTAAGCTTCATGTTTTATTTTGTAGTTTTAACTAAAGCTGCACCGCTTGTACATACATATTATCACTTATGGCATTTGTAACCATCGTTGCATATCTTTTTCTTTTTATTCATTTCCTTTTTCCTTATCTGGTTTATGTTTCTAAGTATAAATAAGGAAATAAAGATGGGAAGGCAGACCTTGAGTTGGCTGCAGAGGCGGAGTTGTGGGTCATGGACATCATGCTGGAGTGGGTCGGCATCTGCAGACTGGACCAGTTATCATGGCTGGGGAGCATCGACAAGCAGGATGATGAGTTATCTGAATATCCAGCTGCAATAGAAAAAAAAAACAACTATGGTTTTACTGCTTTCAGCTTTATGTTCCAGAAAATAAAGGAAGAATATTTTCTATATATTACAAATATGGACAGTTATCGCTAATTCTTGGTTAGGCCTTCTCTGAAGCAGAGTTGTAATAGCTTTTCCTTATTGATTATGGGTTTTTTATTTATTTCAGTTAACAAAAATATCTTCTCAATTTCAGTTTTTTATTTTGTTAGTTTTAGTATAAAGAATAATAACCTTAGTCTGAAAACAAACACTTTACAGCTCTGCTGTTTCAAACACACAAAGCTAGGAGGAGTGTGGACGATCAATCAATCAATCAATCAATCAATCAAATTTTATTTGTATAGCACATTTCAGCAGCAAGTCATTTCAAAGTGCTTTACATAATTAAAATAAAAACAGCATGTGAGAAAGAGATTTAAAAAACATCATTAAAACGTAAACAGTGAGAAAGAGAAATAAAAAGCTGTATAACTTTAGTTAAACCCTTTGGACTTTAGTCAAAACGCCGTTTGACAAGGACTCTAACCTTTCGGACTTTAGTCAAAACGCCGTTTGACAAGGACTCTAAGAGTGACGATAAGAAACATTTTGTTAAAGTTTCTTGTTATGTACATCTGGATGCAGGAGGGACTCACTGGGGGAGTTGGTCCGATGGGCATACGGGCTGCTGTAGGGCACAGAGCGGTGGCTCCTCAGACTGGAGTAACGCTCACAGCCATGGGAGGGCGACAGGGCGATGGGACTCCCAAACTGGCTGTGTGGACTGGTGGGGGGGCAAAGGGTTCCCGTGCCGTGAATAAACCAGCTACCCACTGGCTCCACAGAGAAGAAGACACATATTATCAGCATTATAAAAAACGGAAAGTATAAGTTAAAAATGTAATTTAAGAAAAGATTACATTGGGAGTAACCAGACTGGGGATTCTCATTAGCTTCTTCCCTCATGTCTTTGTGATCATTCCTGCAAAAAAGAGGGAGTAGTTTGCATATTTTGCCTTTACATCAATATTCAGGTAAAAATTTAAGTTTAGCCTCATTCTTACCTTTCCTTTGCATCTAGAAAGGCCTTGGCAAAAGGGTTGTACTTTATTTTTAGAGCTGTTATCTGAAATTCAAGTGCACACGAAGATCTTTACAAGCACAAACTAAACGTGTGTTTTGTGCAAACACTGCTAGCATGATCTGATTTCTTCCAGCGACAGTTTTTCTTATATGAGACATGGCTGACCGCCCAGGGCAACGTGGCCCGGAGGGCACCACGGAAAAAGAAAAAGGCAAGATACAAGAAACTGCTTTAAAAATATGGGGTTAAACCAAAACGTGTATTTACACAAACCTCTTCATTTTGGTATGCTGTTACTGCGATGAACTGCGTCTCTAGGAAGGAGTGGCTGGTGATCATCCTGCGTGGGCCTCCGACCCTAACGATGTGGATACGTGGCTCGTATTTGTGCAAAGAATTTAACATAATCTTAAGAAAAGTGAACAAAGCAAATAGAAATTACTTTTGATTAAATCATAATTTATTCTTGTATTTCATTTTTTTATTCTTGCATTTTAAAATGGAAAAGAGAGAGTACACTAAAGAAGTGAATTTTAAGGACAAATATTATAATTGGCAAACTTTAAATCTAGCATGTCAACTTGTAAATATAATGTAAAAAATTTCCCTACCAAACCAGCATAAGATGATTGGACTGCTTACATACATTGTATTGTGTACAAATTAATGTAATTTAAAAAAAAAAGTAAGAATGATCATAAAACTCATAAGAAGATTTTTGTCTTCAGGCAATTTTTTTTAGTTTGTATTATGGCCAAACTTAGCCCAGTGCTAACGCTACAGTTAAGCTAAGCTACCGCTAAGGTTAAACTCGTTACCAAGCTGAGATTAGCAAAACTCAAAATCTATTTTCAAACTTTGTGGTTTAGAAATTTGTTATGTTGAAGCAAGAACTTAAGTTTGTACCCAGTACAGCAACAGCACTTATGCTAAACTGAAGCTTTCTTGCTAACACTTTAGTCAAACTGAGCTAAGTTCAGCAAGAATACATGATTGTTTTCTGCTTTCTAACTAGCTTAGCGACAGCATTAATGTTAACACCAAACCTGCTAGCAACCAAGCTTAGTGAAAGTTATGAATTTTAATAAGACTCATTTGAGAAGTGTCTGTGTCAAACTTGATGGCAAGCTGAGTTTTGTCAAACTACGAGCTGTATCAAAAGTTGTTGTGACAAAATGTATGCTTTGGTGAGATAATTTAAGTTTTCATTCTGCTTTAGCTTGCTTAGGAACCCTGTTAAAGCTAAGGTCAAACTTCCTAAGAAATTGAGCTTCTTCACCCTGAGGTAGAATAAAAACATCCTGGCAGAAACTGTGAAGGAAAAGCTTTTAATGCCACCTTGTTAGGATTTGATAGCAGTGGGCAATTTGACCACTGCTTTATTAATATTTCAGTGATGTTTTAAGCCTCTTTTTAAAGTAAAAAAGAGCACAAGTGATTTAATGGAAGAAACAAAAATAAACAGACAAGCAAATTACTAAATAAACAGAAAAATTATTGTAGCAAATCAATGAAACCTGCTTTCTCCTCTTTTAAATTTATATTTACACAATTATGACGTATTTAATTAAGACTATAACTACACTAAAGACTGCAGCTGTGAAACTGCATCCTTTATTGGTCAGGTGTATTGATCTGAATTTGAAGGTTAGAAACAAAAATGTCATTCTGGATTGATTAATTCAGAATTGCATTGTTGTTTATTACCTGTTAATTGTGCAGGATCTTATTTATAAAATACAAAAGTTACAATCAAATTAAATTTTTATGTAATTAAATTGTTCTGAGTAAAATTATATGGATATCAGTTAGAATTTAATAAATTACATTTTAAAAAGTAAATTTTAAAAATAGGATGGGGTTTAAGTATTCAACTTTATCCACCAGATAATCATAGAAATGTATTCCTTTCTTTCTATTTTTAATGAATGACATTATAAAGTTCAGTTCTCACCAGGCATGACATATAATTGACTTTCTGAGTTTTTTAACATACAAAATGGCAGTTTTGTATGTTAAATCAGAAAAACAACTCAAAAAAACATTTTTTTTCAGATTGGATTCTAATTAGATATTGTTTTATGTGCAAAGTAAAATGTAAATAAATTGCTTCATCCAAGAAAATTGCACACAAAATGTTTGCCACTAAAAATTATCATGTATGCTTATATCTTTTTTTACAGTTTCTTTTTACGAATGTCATTTTTATTTCCACTATTTACCTTACATAACAAATATCTGAACATTTTTAAAACTTTAAACCATCAAAGTCGAGTTTTAATGTTTAAGTCCTTCTCTTTCTATATTGGTTTTCTTTTTTTTTTTCTTTTTTCACAAAAAGTTGCACTTTTGAATTCTGTTGGGAGGGAGGGATCATCCGAGCCCAGCGGGTCAAAATTGTCAACATTTATTGTGTGATTTTTTTTTTTTTTTTTTTAACAGCAAAAACTTTATAAAGTCGTGAACAACGTGTTTTTGCCCTCTCACTGCATGTGGGTGGGTGGGGGGGAACATAATCACGAGTGGAAATCAATAAAACAGGACATTTTGAAAGCACGACAAGAACATAAATCAATATGCAAATTGATAGATCAATTTAATTGATAAATTGCAACAGCTTGCTTCAGCTCCACGTTTACCTGACCTCCGCCGTTGAGCTTGTTGGTGAGTTTGACTTTGCTGAAGGAAACCGGAGCCTTCATCCAGTGAGCCCCGAAGTTTGGAGAGTCTGGGTGGATGTACACGCAGCTGGGGGTCTGGGGCTCTGGTTTACCTCCCGGCACCCACTCCCCGTTCACGTACTTCCACCTGTGGTTGTCCGCCGACACAAAGTCCAGCAAGAAGGAATACATGGCGTTTGGGTCCAGTCCTGAGACGTTGACTTTCAGAACCGGGAACATGCGCCTTAAAGGAAAAACGACATAAATACCAGTAGAACAGATTTATCGATCTATCATCCATCCATCTATCTATCTATCTATCTGAGGCTCACCTGCCGTTCTTTGTAACTATCATCTCGTTTGTGAGGTCCTTAAATTTTTGCCACAGCTCCCGTTCATCCAGGGACACTTTCAGGTCCCTCTCGGTGGGGTCTCCCTTCTCGCTGCCGGCCTGCAGCTCACTCTCCACCGCACTGAGGAGGTGGTCCACCCGGTACTGAGCGGCCTTGCTGGGACACTCACCAGCGCCAGTCGCCATCAGGTCAAACAGCTCCAGATTTGACAATAACTGCGACTTTATGAGGAATTATTTAAAGACCCAAGCTGTTTTGTTTCCCAGGATGAGTTTCTGAATATATACTCGGATGAGCGGCTCCATGGCTGGACGGCTGTCTGGAGCAGAGGTGGTTGGCTCGTCTCCCCTTTGATCTTTGCGGGCTTGTCGCTGATTGGCTGAGAGCAGCCATATTATTCAGGGCCCACAGGATGGCAGCGATTTGAATGAAGCTTTATTACATCGACCTGTAAATATTGACACTTAGATCAAAGCCACACCTGCAGCAGCCAGGCCACTGCAGAGCTGACCAGGGCCAGCCTTCAGCCGCACAAGGTCCGAGGTTAGCCCACTTTTATTCATTACTTCCTCAGCTTTTAGTTAGCATTTAAAATAGTTCCTAAATGCAGTAGATTAAGTCGTTGGAGTTCCAAGAATGTTCTCATTTATTTATTGATTTATTTTTGTTGTAAAATCTGAAATCAGTGATTTCTGAAAATCTAAAAATTTTCTAGTGAAAAATGTAAATTGTAAGATTAGATTAAACTTTCAAAATACACCAAAGAGCACACTAACTCAAAAATACTCACTGTAACCAATAACTAAAAATAGTTAATCTAATAAAATGTGGCAACATTTTGATAGTCCTGCACATGTAAAAATATGATTATTGATGATTTGAGACAATTAGTGCCTTGCAAAAATATTAATCTTTTCGTGTAAAGTTTTTCACATTTTGTCACATTATTTCCACAAACTATACATTTTATTGTGTTTTTATGTCAAATACCAACTAATTTAATTTGAAACACTGAAATAAAATGAAATGAATGGGGCAGCAGTTTCTCTTTTAGCATGAGAGCAACCCTAAGCATACAATAATGCTACCGTGGTTTATATTAAGCGTGCTCATTTTACAGAATGGCCCAGTCAAAGTCCAGAACTAACTACAACTGTAGCAGACATCTCTTTTCAACCAAATATTATGCGCTACTTTGTGCAAAATACCAATAAATCACATTGCAGTTTGTAGTTGTAACCTGAAGGTGTAAAGACGTCAGCAGTGCACTATTTTTTTGAGCGTAGGGACACGACTGTTTAGTCCAAGTGCCAATGACTTGTTTTAAATCACCGGATAAGAACGAGGGGGAAAAAATCCTTCCACTGACAGCAGTAAAACATAAGACATAATTTACTTCTGAGTAACACTACAGTGTCATCCTCATAAATAACAACTGTGTTGCCGTGGCGACCAGCAGAGAAAAAACAGAAAACAAACATTAAAAGCAGACATTAACGTAACGGCTGCATGGCAGCTTCCATAGAGCTCTGAGTTGTTGTTTTGTGGCTGGTTTATGTTACTAACCAAACCTTGGACGTCCTGTTCGTCCTGCCAGCAGAGCGAGTCTGTCTGTCTCTCTGTCCAACTGTCTGGACTGGAGTTCACAGCAGGCAGAGAAAAACAAATGCCACTAAGGTTAAACTCTGAAGTTTTTGGGGCATTTTTTCCAATTATGTTTCAGGCTGGTATGCAACCAGTCTCTGGAAAAGTAGATAATCCTACGTTTAAAGTTATTGTACATTTGTCTCAAGTATCCTGCTCTTCTCAAGAATCTCCCTGATTATCCAAGCTGAATGTAAGGGTCCTCTGGTATTTTCTTCTCCACTACACACACAACTCACTCGCAAATCAGGATTCTTGCTCTCCCGGGGTTGTAAAGTTGCAAATGTGAGGGCTTTTATCTGTGGGTGGCAGATATTACGATTATTTATCATTTCCTTATCCATTAATCGTTTTGTCATCAGAAAAGAGACCCCTTTGTGTAGAAGGTGAGGAAACCACGGTGTAAAAATCAAGGGTGTTATAACCAGTGCCATTTCAACAGTGCTGGTGTCCCAGTCGGCACCCGAGTCTTTTCCTTCAACACCATCACCCAACACCCCCACCATGAGCCGGCCCTCAAATGTTTGCAGCATCATAAACGAGCGTTATTGATCTATTTCTACAACGTCAGCCAAAACCGTGGGTATTTTTGTTAGGATTTTATGTCTTTAGATTTTATGACTGTTCAGGAAGAAAATAAGTAAAGTGTTAACTAAAAAAGTAGTATGTATTTTTCTTATTTATTTATTTTTTTCCCCTTAGCAATACTTTGTAGAATAAACTATTTCATTAATTAGCTTCAAGTCTTTGAGTTGTGGCTGCATCAGCTTTGAACATAAAGTGAAACGAGGCAAAATCACAAAGTTTTACTAAACTCACAGAGGATTGAATGATTGAATAAAGAAAATCTCAAACACCCACAACGGGAGCTCAACCCTGGATGACTCTGATAAAGGGAGCAGAATGACTGAACTGTGCAACAGTTTTCAGTGCATACCTGGGGTAAGTAATATGCCTGCATGCCAGCTGGCTTTGACCAACGTGTTTGTCTTCTTCAGCACTCCTTCCAGCTCTTCCCTGTTTGCCTTTGGTCCATCTTCACACAGAAGTGAGACAAGAGAGGACTCCACCAGCTTGCCCATGTATCTCAGCTCAGAAACATAACCCAGTCGTTTGTGCCTTTTCTAAAATGATCTTTCTGTTTAGTAAATGTTTCGGGTCAAGCAAAATAAATGCATAAAAAGTTTCTTCAGCAACACAAAAAATCTCATTAACTGTACCACAAAAATAATATATGTTTTCTAAAGGTTAGTCCTTTTAGTCACACCGTAGAGAAAGGTCATAGCAATTGCATGTATAAGTCTGGGCTGTGATTATGCTACTTCAAAACCTTATTTTTTATCTATTTATTTATTTATTGAGATCTGGAGCTGACAAAGCACCACCATGCTACCATGTTTGATTGTTGGTATGATTTTTTTTTTCTTCTGAAATGCTGTTTTATGACGTAATGGAACAAACACCTTCCAAAAAGTCCCACTTTTGTCTTGTCAGTCCACAGAATGTTTTCCCAAAAGCCTTATGGATCCTAGAGATGTTTTATTTTTGGGAAAATCTGAGATGGGCCTTTTTGTTCTTATTGGTCAACACAGTTTTCAGTTTGAAACGCTCCTATGGACCCAATTATTGCTCAGTCTGTGTCTTAATTTGCAAAGCCGTGAACACTGACCTTAACTGAGGTCTGAAAGGCTTTAGTCGCCGGTCTGGGTTCTTGAAACCTCCTAGATAAATTGTTGATTGTCCCTCTTGGAGTTATTTTAGTAGGGCGGTCACATCTGGAAAGGCTTACTACTTTAAGTTTAACATATTTTCTTCCTTTAACTTGAGTTACAAGTTAAAGTGTATTTGTAACCCTTTCCAGACTGAAACGTGAATATGTTTGATTCTCATATGTTCTTGAATTTCTTTAGATTGGGGCAGCAGGTGTCGCTCTTTTAGATAATTTAGCTCATCAGACAGATCATATTTAAGTTTGCTTGCTCAGTGCTAAGTTGGTTTGAAAACTATTTTGTATATACTCATGTTGTCTTTGTCTGATATTGCAATTTTCTTTGATGATCTTAAACATTTAAGTGTGACAAAAAAGTTTAACAGAATAAATTTGCAAGTGGGCAAGCACTTCTTCACAGCCCTGTTTTACTTGTAATTAGCAAGTGACATAAAGCACGTCCCTTATTAAACACAAGATTGAAATATTTCTGTGTTTTCATTTAGTTTGGGGTGTGAGCCTTTCCCAGTTTGCAGCAACCTGGCTAACTTGAGTTCTGTGATGTGTGTCACTTGCACACACGATTTGTTGTGTTGTTAAGATATTCTTAACAGCGTGCTACTTCTCAAGAGCAGCCATAGTCCTCTTCAGCTTGTACCCGACAACACAGCACACTCAGGTGACAACACACTTTGTCTGCTGGGTGCAAACTTGCTTCAGGGAGGACCCTGTAGCGTTTACTCACCAGACAGCTGCAGCAGACCTGTTCAAACCCCATCAGCTGCAGACAACACAGGTGGAGAAGCAGGATGACATGTGTATCCACATGTTCAATTCTAATGCTAACACTTAGCCTTAAATTGTAGACTAGTATGGGGAAAAACTGCCTTCAAATATAGCTAGCTAGCGTAAGTAGCTAGCTTAAATCTTCCTCTCATTGAAGTTTGTGTGAATAGACATGGTGTGTTCTAGTCTAATCTCATTTTGCAGACCTGTAAAGCACAGTTGTGAAATTCAACACATTAAAATGACTATGACCAGATGGCCACGAAGATAGCAAATTACTGCACCAAGTGTCCCATAAATCATCCCAGCTAATATTGAGCAAATAAAACCCGGGCAGGTTGGATGAATTGGCTTGTTATTTAAAAACCCAACCAGGGGATTTGCAAACTCTCCATTTGACTTCATCTCTAATTGCTTTTATTTTCGGTATTTCTCACGGACGTGGGGAATGTGCTTATGGTACAGCCGGACGGTAGAGGCAGGAGGGGCCGCCGTCTCGTCATGTTTGTTTGTGGGGTCGATGGGATTTCACACCGAGAAGTTGCCAGATCAGCTCTTCTGTTTCTTTTCTTTTTTTTACATTTCAAATTTCACATGCAGGTTCACAGCTCATACAGATTTTACACTGAAAAGTTCATGTTGTAAAACCAAAAGGAGAAGTTTACTCTTACAAATTCACAATGTATGAAGAGATAACATCAAAGCGTATTGGGAGCAAAAGCAAAACAGAAGTAAAAAATGAAAATGTTAGAGAAACATGCCTCTGAAAATTATTGCTTGTAAAGACATAATGATTGAGAAAGTTTTCTCAACTCAACTCCTAGGATTGATTAGCTACCATCCATAACTCCACTTGTATTATTAGTATTATTACACCCAGATCAACAGAATCAAAATGGTTTTAATGATGGTACTTTTCAAAATGTAATGTTTGTTGCTGGTTTTCTCAATTGTTGACCATATGGTGTCTTTTATGACTTTGTATTTATGTGTTTTTACAAAGCAAAGCGTTTGGAACTGCCTTGTTGCTGAAATGTGCTACATAAATACTTGATTGCTTGATTGAAAAAGGTGTTAAATAGAAAAGATATACAGAAATATATATAAGTATAAACAATCAACATGTCATGATTTAAAGAGTTTCAAGAGATTACAAAGTTGGGCTTTGCAGCTCCAGTGTTTCACTTTGAGAGTCATTATCTACAAATGGAGAAAACATGGAACAGTGGTTCTCAGGAGAGGCAAGCCTCACAAAATTAGTTAAGGACTCATTCAGAAGAAGACCAGAACCATCAGCACTGTAGATTTAATTTATTTACGCATTTCATGTTTCCACAAGACTGGGAAAAGATGGCATCCACTGCCAAACAAGAACAAATCCCTGACTCAGGTGAGTTGTAACATCAGTTTATTTATTTCGCCTAACTTCATAAGTGAAAATTCACATTATTAGGATGAACACATTGAATGTTTTCCCTTCTGTGTCAAACTGCCCCAGTGTGCCCATGTGGTTAAGTCATGAGCTACAGAGCTGCAGCTTTCAGAAGAATTTTATTTGAGAGACAGTCGGAGAAGGACAGCGACAGAAAGTTGTGGGAATCAAGATTTTAAAGCGACCCTCTCTTGTTTCAGTGGCTGGGAAACAGAGCCCACAGAACAAATGAGAAGTAAACACGCAGCCACAGGAAGCCATTTACTGCAGCAGGGGCCAATTAGGCCCCAGCAGGTGTTCTGGACTGGGTCGTCTTTGGTCCTGCCTCACCTCCGTCTGGCAGAGCGCCGACCCAGGCTGAGGAAACAACGGGCAGTTTCATTTACTCAGCAAAGTATTCCTACAGGAGGGCCCCTAAAATCCTTTATTGTGCCCCCTTTGTCCTCTGCCCCACCCCCTCCAAGTGCAAGTCATTAGAGAAGACAATTACATCCTCCTTATGAAGCTTGACTTTTACAGGAGGGGAAGATAAGACAGGATCTCTCTCATGGAAGACCCCCGGAGCGTATTGCTGTCTTCACACCCAGATAGAAGTGAGACGAGACGGTCAAAATCAAAGTCAATCCCCAGGGAAGAGAGAGCAGACACAACATGGGGCTGAAATTCACATCCATGAAGGACCTAAATGATACTGTCTCTTAAAAAAATAAATGGCCCTCCAGCTGTTTATTACATCTTCATGCACTGTTCCTCTTGAACTAAATAAACACACTTTGGCTGGTATCGTTTAGCTTGGTGATCATTTATTTGATCTAACTGTAACAGCAAATTTATAATTTATATCTCTTTGTCAATTCGAAAATACTTGATTAATCCCAAATGGAGATTAAATGTTGTAACTCAAATTATTTAAGATTCTTCAGAGTTGTTGTTGTAGATGGTGATGGGTGTTGGCAGGAAGGAGCTCTTGTAGCTGTCTGTTTTACAGTGACTTTGAAGAAGCCTCTGACTGAAGACATTGGTTTTCCTATAAATCTCATTAAGAAGATGCTAAGGGTTGTCCATATTTTCTCTTTATTTAACGCTAAATATGTAAAAACATCAAACGTAATTTTATTTCCATGAAACAAATTGCACTGACATTAGTCTGACTAGTTGTTTCTTATTGAAAAAAATGTCTTTTCCCCCCATTTTATTGATTCATTTTTGCAGTTTCATACAGTTTTTCTCAGTTTCTCTTTAGTCCAGTGATTACTTTAGTCAACTTGCAAATAAAAAAAAATTACATAAAATATTCCTCTTTCATATTTTCCAAAGCTGTATATCACAAAAGCCATGCTGCGTTGTTAATTTGTCAGCTTGATCCTGCTGTGAAAACGGTGAGAGTCCAACTGTGTGGCTACAGAGAAGAATCTCTGCTGCCCCCTTGTGTTCATTCCGTCAAAGAGCGACCATAAATCCCCAATCCAACAACGTCAAGTTACATTTCCACCATATGGTGTCCCCGAAGTTTACTTAAATGGATCAAAATGTGGGCACATATGGAGAACAAGCAGCGACAAATTGAACTCAATCTGCATTTAGTCCGAGAGTCTCTCAGTAATTGTCCTTCTTTATTGTATTTGTGCATCATTTAAAAGATGCTTGTGGGTCAAGGGACCATTATTTCATAGAGTCTCCTGCTATTTTTATGACTGAGTGTAACAATGTATCACTGAGATGCAGCTGCATTGCTAAAAGAAACAACAACAACAACAACAACAACAACAACAACAACAACAACAACAAAAACAGAGTGACTGAATTATGTAACAACAAACCGATTTTCTCAACAAACAGCCTAAAATTCAACTTGACAATTTAGGGATTTAACTGTATTAGTTGTGTCTTTGCGTTTGCTACATGTTACCTTTGTGAGGAGAGAGCAAGACTTGGGTCGTGTATCTGCAAACATTCCTCCAGGTGGCGCAGGAGGATTGGAAACGCCAGCTGGAGACAAACTGTGAAAGCAGAGATAAGTATTAGCAGACATACTGTTGAAACCAGACGTTTACATACATTGAATCAAAAGACACTTTTATTTTTATTTTTCTGTGGAGCTGCACAATTCTGGTTCATCTTTGCTGATAATTTCTAGATGCTTACAGGCACCTCATTTATCTGTTCAAAAAGTTATATGCAAGTACAGACATGATGGGAATGTCCAACCACGACGATGTTCAGGAAGGAGTCGGGTTCTGTGTCCCACAGAATAACTTGTTTCAGTCCAAAATGTGCAAATTGACCCCAAAACAAAACATAAAGCCCTTGAGAAGATGCTTCTGAGTGCTGGTAGGAACGGGTCATCATCCACAGTGAAACGTTTCCTGTACCAACACTGGCTGAAAGGCCACTCAGCGAGGAAGAAGCCTTCACTTCAAAAGAAACATAAAAATGAACACAGGGATAAAAATCTTCATTTTTGGAGATTTTGTCCTTTGGTCTGATAAAAACCAAAGTGGAACCCTTTGGCCATAATGACCATCGTTACATTTAGAGGAAAAACAGGGATGCTTTTACCATCCTAACTGTCAGGCATGGTGGTGGCAGCATCATGTTGTGGTGCTGTTTTCCTGCAGGAGGAATTGGTGCACTTCATAAAATAGATGGCATCAAAGAACATTCACGAGGAAATGTTGAAGACATCAGCCAGGAAGTTAAAGCTTGAATGCAGATTAATAACTCTAAAAATACAGCTAAAGTGGTTTTAAAGTGGCTTAAGGACAAAAAGTCAACATTTTAATGTCACCATTGCAATAACGTGCTCTGAATCTTGTGGATAAGTCTTGGGGTAGATCTGAAAACTGGACTGAGTTACACCAGTCCAGTTCAGTCAGGAGGAACAGGCTGGAACTCCAGCAAACTAGACAAAACGTTTTAGTCATAGTGCAAAGATAATGCTAATAAATGCTGATAAATATAAGTCTGACATGTTCTTTCTCTCATTATTGTTGCAAATAGGAATACTTTCGATAATATTAACCAAAAACAAGAGAAGCTTGGTCTGGTTTAACTTCAGATGGTGGGGGAAAAAAAAGGCAAATTCGTATTTTTATTTAGTGTATGCAAATTTCTGGTTTCAGCTATAAGCACTGACTACAGATCAGAGGATCCTAGAATGATACTATGGAGATCAGTAAATGCAGACCTCTCGTTTCATTACCCGGCCATTCCTGCAGATTATGAGGTGCTTCAAATGTACCTGTATTTTTAATAAATTGCTTTGAATGAGCAGCTTGGGATGTGTCGTCGGAAAACGGCTGTGAAGTGTCAGTATTTGGGGATTTGAGCTGCTATCTTGAATTGGCCTCATTCTCTGTCTCCAGGGTCCATCTGTGCCTTCATTAGCTGTCTATCAAAAGACGCTGTGGAAGTGAGAAAAAAGGAAAAAAAAAAAAAAAAATCAGGAACCCGTCTTGTTCATTTTTGGTAATCCCTCTCGTCAGCCAAGAGCATCCTCCCACACCGCAGCTATCTTCTGTTTTTGCAATGGACAAAAAAAGACAAAAATAAAGGCAGGAGTGAGTCCACCTACTCTCCCACAGAGCTACCATCCTACTACCTGATCCCCAACACGCCTCAGATTTTAGAAGAAAAAAATAACTTCAGAAACAGCAAGGAAGGAAAGAAGCAGCAGATGCAGTGACTGGCAGAAGTATTCATACTCTTGGAATACTTTCACATTTTATCAATTCACAATCACAAAAGCAGTAAATTTAATTAAAATTTGAAGTGGTAGAATGTGTAACGTTGTCAAAAAATTAATAGCAATATTTTGGTTTATTTTGCCTGCAATAAAGGACAAAAAAAATGTGGCTGTTCATTTTTCAAAGTCATGTTTTCACCATGTTATACGAACATTTCGAACAAGTCAGACTTCCAAGCTAAATATTTAATTCACCAGCAAAATATTTAGTATTTAGAAGTTTTTTGCTAACAAACTAAATGTTTAATTTGCAGTTTACATAGAGATCTGCAAAACTTTTATTTTCATATTCCACTTCTGCTTACCTGTAAGCCAATTTTTATATTAAGTAAATATTTAGTTTGAGCCTAACTAAACCTAAATGTTTAGTTAGCCAGATAAATATTTAGCTTGCTTGCTAAATATTTTCCAGTGCTACGATGGAATGGTTCAGAGTTTAGACCAATGTTTCCTAAACTCTTCCAGTTTCTAACTCACAAATTTGAAAAAATCGAGGCTTGTGACTCTCGCTCTTAGCTCACAAGCTAAATATTTAATTTGGAGTTTGCAAAGAGATAAAAGCATCCTGACTTAGTTTGAAAACTGGTGCAATACAAACCCAATCAGCTTAACTGAACATCAAACCAAATACCAAAGTATAGAACAACCTGGTGCTTTAATTTACTTCAAAGTCCTGTTTTTAATTTGTTTCAACATTTATGAAATGCACATGCTTTCTCGTTGTCATTTGTGGTATTTAGGTTAATTTCTGACCCCAATTCTACATATTTGGGGTCCGGACCTGAACGTTTTGAACTGGTTCAGACCCCAAGAGTCGATGACCACGACTTCTAAGATGTGGCTCTGCTTCAACACACCTGAGTCAAATTTTTACGTCATTAGCAGGACTCTGTGGTACTGGACCAGGGATGCATATAAAAAGTTACAGAATGCTGGCCCAGTAGGACAGGAGTTTGACAACTCTGGTTCAAAATAAAAATGGCCTAGTTAAAGTTTAGACCTAAATCAGTTCAGAATCTGCAAGGCTTATTAAGTTATTCATTTTGCAAAGAATAATGTGTTTAAATTTCCTTCTAGACATGCAAAATGGTGGAGACCTAATCCAAATGATTTACATCTGCGTTTTCTGTGAATGGTGGTTCCAAAAACCTTCATACTCAAGACGAGGTGAATATCAACACATGGCACAGTTTTTATATTTTTATTGTCACTGAAAATCCCAGTAAAGTACATGGAAGCTCGTGAATCTAGTATGACTAAATGTGAATACTTTTACAGCGCCGAAAAGAGCTAACATAGATGAAAGTTGTATAAAACAGGTTCATTCTTCTTTTAATAATCCATAAATGAAGACGAGTCATGGTTCTGCTTTCTATCGGAAAACTCAGCTCTCTCTCATGTCGCTCTGTCCTTGAGAAATTTCTCTGTCATGGAACATTACAGAGCTTTTTGGGCCAAGTCCCTGCAGGAAACATTCATTTCTCTCCTTCCTCACAAAGGTGCTGCTGGTTTAACAGTTCAGGCGCCACAAACAGAAATACTATCACTTCTAGGGCAAAACGGACTGGCAGTTCTCCTCTTCTTAGTGCTGCAAAGTGTTAACGATGAAGCGGAGGCAGGACCCATCTGTTCTTCTTCTCTGACACTGTAAATCAGCTCCAGATAATGTTGCTGTGCTTCGTCACTGACCTAGAAAGCGATCTTGGGGCTGAGGAGGATTGCAGCGATTTCCTTTTCATTTGTTATCCAAAAAAGGATTTGCATCTCAGACAAAAAAAAAAAAAAGTAGCAATAAAAGCACGAGAAAATGACAAAAACAACTGCAGAAGTAAGAAAATGAACAAATTGAAACACTGTTGCTTGCTCCTTGCTGCTGAGATAATAAAGGCGCCCATAGAGAAACAGAGTCATGAATAGCTTGGCTTCAGGCTTGAATCAGTCAGACAGACAAGGCCGCAATTGAAAAGGCACAATAGACGAGGGGATTACAGAACTTTTGGTCAACAAGCCAGATGATAATATCTGTACAGGAGCCACTGAGGACCAAACGGGGCCTCGTACAGAATGTGTCGACCCTGACACGATCCGAGTCTGAACCCATGTGGAGTGTCTGCTCAGCAAGGTGCTTTGATTGTAGCAAGGTGTTTACTCTGTTGACATGCATGACACAGAAAGTGAAGTATTACACTGGGTCACATTGTTACAAACTTTGTGGCAATGTCTGAATATTTACAGTACTGCAAATTCCAGGTGCCAGTAAGCGGAGTTTGCTTCCAAAACCAGCAGGTTGTTTCTATGCATCTAAAATACAGGGAATCGACTGGAATCTCATGGAAAAATGCAATAAAATTTCCTCCTTGAGGAAAAAAAAACACGTTGATGCTTCTTCCATTTTTTCTTTTTCATATTCAAAGAAATCAGCAAGGCAAATGTTACTTGAGGATTAATGTGAAGGTTTTTCATACAGCTTTGGTGATTAATTCCCTAACTTGGGTCTTTTAATGATGCGTTTGAGGTGCTGATGATAAAACATTTCACTTCAGGGACATTCAAAGTAAGAACTAGATAAATAATTTAAATTTTATAATTGATTTTCTCTTATGTAAATAGAGAATTGCACATGCAGACAGAAATATATAGCTACCTCCTGACTAGCTGCAGAGAAACTGCTCACTTTTCCAACATTCACAAATATCCTGGTATAACTATGGTTGAATGTTTGACCAATCTGCTCAGCAGAACTAGTGAAGTTCAGTGGAACAAGCAAACTTTTGCGATAGTTTAAGAAAAAACACTATTTCCAAATTATTCAACTTTACATCATATAAACAGCTAGTCAGTTCAAAGAAACTATGCCAGAAGCATATTAGTGGTTACCAAAAAGTTTTCCTACAAATTTCCTACAGATATTTGGTCAAATATTAGTCAGGCGTATGCTTGTAATTGAGTAAATTTTGAGCTCCTGTGGAGACACTTGATCAAGCCGCAGACAGTCATTTGTTTTCTGTCCATCTCCCAGTAAAAGAAAAGGTCAAATTAATGAATAAAATCTCAATATTCCAAATAAAAACACAGATTTTATGGGAGCATTTACAACACAACGATGTAACTCATTCATTCTGACAGTTTCAAACAAACCACAGATGACAGAAACAGCTTGTTGCACAGTTACAACCTGAATGAACTTCCACCTGCATGTAATTATTGTTTGGTCATCTAATATGCACAAACACACAGGATAAGGTTAAATTAATCAACACAGAAAAAGCAAAAGGTCCTTCTATAACTTTATTTCTCTTCCACTGTGATATTGACTGTATATTGTTTCCTGATCAGCTGTTTTCTCCCTGAGCATCACATTTCCAGGGTAAAAACAAAGTTATTGCAGAAAACAATAGAGAACATCCAGACTTCAAAATACCTAACTCTAAAAAAAAAAAAAAAAAAAAAAGACATACAGGAAATAATAAAGTGTCATTCTTGTACAAACATTAGTGGCATATTTAGTTTGACGTATGGACATATTTTGGAGGTAATTTCCTGCAGGAATGATGCACCTTGGCACGCATGCAGCACTCATTGGCCAACCCTGCTTAACAGGAAATCTAAGAAGCTTAAAAGGCTAATGCCCAAATGGCCCCAGGTAGCTGCACAGCAGAAACAAAGAGCCTTTATGAAAATGCTGTCTGGGAATCAGAAACAAGAAGAGACCACAAATCAGCAAGAGAACAATACACAAGAAGAAACTAATAAATCTAAGCAATTTAATATGGCCAGTTCATAAGAACTTTTTTTTTTTTTACTTCAAAATAGATAATAAATTTCAGCTGATAAAATATTTGACCGTATAAACATTTTGTGATAAAGGTGAATTCAGGTAAATCAAGGAATTACTTTAAACAAATTTAACAATACACCTAATGTGTTATATAGGTTTGAGTTCTTCAGTTTGTGTGAGAAAAGTAAAGTTTGTTATTTTATGAAAGCATGGCTCTCTGCTTTATCATAATTAAGACAAAACTATATTTGACACATTTAGCAAATTGGCACAATTTAGCTGTAACTATGATACTTATTATGGAAGCTCATCAGTTTGTTAAATGGTCTGTCACTAAAAAAGTCAGTTTTACAAGCTCTGTAAAAAGCTGACACAACGGCGTGATTCTTTTTATTCTTAACTTTAGAAAATTTAGTTAAAATAAATAAATTCATCTGAAAATATGATCCATTCTAGTGAGGAAGAAACTAGTTCTTCTTCCCAACTAATTTTCTAGTTATTGTTACTCTCCTTGCATTTTATTTTCTCCACCTACCACAACAACCCACATAATAAACTTCTACTACCTTCAAAAACGTGTTAATCTAAATCTTTATACCAGATCTTATGTGCCGACAACAGTGACACATTTCGTTTTGGATGTCTCAATTTACGATATCATTTGGTAAATTGGGACAAAAAAAGGTACTAATTTAGAAAATATAATTTGTTTTGATGCTCAGATTTAACATTTTTAATATGTACTATACTGGTTTTTCGTGTGATTTGGGTTACACACTTCCAAAATAACTTTATCTATGCCATATCGTTGTTAACTTAAGGTTTTGTTTAGTTTTCCCCTCCTAACTTGTCTTGTCCCATTTTACCCGAATTCACCACATCACTGATTGATCAATTGAACCCAATTAGCAGAAGATAAAAAAAAAAAAAATCCCCCAAAGCTTCCGCGCTGGGTTTCAGTCAGTCTGTGCAGGAGTCGCTGATGTTCTCCAGCAGTTTATTGTTCTCTAACAAAAGGAGAGGAGCGCTTTGGCTGCCTCCACTGACCTCAGCCAATCCACGGACGCCCACTGGAAATAAATCCGTGTGCAAAGAGAAACTGAGAAGAAAGTGAGAGCAAAATGGCATCTGAACTTGAACAAAGATGATAAAAAAAAAAACAATAAAAAAAAACACTCTGATAAACCTGACCTGTATTATTGAATGTTTCTTATCTAAAAGTAGTCTTCCCCTTTTGGCATTTTAAACTTATTGACATCTTTTTAAATCCTGACATTCTCTTAGAGTAGACCTCCTTCACTTGTTTGAAGTGATGTAAATGAAACGAATTTGTCCGTCATGTCTCTTTCTTCCAACTTAATAATAATAATAATAATAATAATAATAATAATAATAATAATAATAATAATAATAATAATAAAGATTTGAAGTCAGGTGTCAGCAGCCTTTGAGGTGCGGAAGTGCTGAAAGTTTGTCTGCTTTCACCAAAGCAGCTGCGTTTTCCACTCCTTTCAGCCACTCTTTGCATTTCCTCACAACGGTCTCATCCACATCCCCGTCCTCGTCCTCGTACTCCACATCATCGTACTTGTATTGATCGTTCAGCAGAGATATTTTAACAATGGCGGTGATGTCCTGCTGTTCCGCGCTGTCCGTCTTGCCGCCCGGAGCGCAGCACTTGGACGCTCCGTGCGCCTTTTTGCACGGAAAAACTCGCCGGTGCCGAAAGTCCGCGGAGGCGCAGCACTTCTGCTGCTTGGCCATCATCTGCTTCTCCAGGTTCCGCTTTTTAATAACTAGAATGGCTTCAGGAGTGAGGCTGAGCGAGAACTGGATCTCCTTCTTTGTTTCCTCTTTCCCACTGAGATGTCTGGCGGAGTCCATTGAGCTAGAGCGCCTTATTCCCAAGGATGGATCCTGCGGTTTGGGCACCGACAGCCAGGAGCACTTTCCCTGAGTCTCTTGACCCGAACTCGTCTTCTGAGCTTGGCTTTTATTCTTCTCCGGTTGCGATCTTCGCCCCAGATTCCGCAGGTTTGCTGATGCCCAGGAACTGGGCTGCTTTCCCTTCTCGGATCCAGATTTGCCGGTTTGTTCAGCCTGAGAGTGGCCTGCGTTGGCCTTCTTTTTCCCAAATAGTTCCCTGCCAGGAGAGGAGATCCGCTGTTGGAGGCTGATCGGCGGAAAAGGCATCTTTACGGTCAGAAATAATGAAGAAAATCAAGACATAAAAAGCAGCGAGTGTAACCTGAAAAGCCCTGCGCAGAGCGAATACAGGCGCTCTGTAGGCATTATCACCGGAGCGGTGGTGCACCTGTTGTCCACACAGGATGGAGTAACACACACACACGCAAACACACACACGCACACATCCTGGCTCTTTTATTGTGGATCTGGTGGAGGAAGGCGTGGCCAAGAGACGCGCCAAACAAAGAAACGGAAAACCTAGTTACGTCATTTGATAGTTTTTTTAGGGCCTTTCCTAAAACAATGAATCACATCAACCTCCTGACGGTCACACATGTTCATATAATCCACTGTTTCCTATTTATTCTCCTTTTTTTGGAAATTACGCAAAGTTGTGTTCAACTAATCTCATGTAGAATAATTCATTCCATGTTTATATTTGCAATTGTGACATTTATTTCAATCTTAAGTTTCTGATTGAAAAATGGCATTAAATACTATAAAATAAAGGCTTCATCAACCTGTGTGGCCTAAAGAATCTCATTTTAATATGAAATAATCAAGTTAATCTAGACCAGAGGTAAGATTCAAGATACTTAAAAAAAAGGGAAAAAAAACATTTTTTATAAAATCTGTTTTAGATAATCAACTCTAACACCTGCACTGCACAGCTAGATTTTTTTTTTTTTTTTACAATGCTTTCTTGCAATCTTGCAGTCCTTGTTGACTGGATATGCAAATTAGTAGTAATTGGTAACCAAATTATTGAATTTTATTTCTGGAGCAATGGTGCCGCCCCATGACAGGAGGGCGACCGGGGCAGAGGACCATGTCACCCTTATCAAACACCATGGTTACCAATTCACCAGACCATGATTGGTTTAGACCTAATGGACAATTTTGTCATTTTTTTCCAACAATAAGTTCAGAAGAACCTTTTTTTTTTTTTTAATTTTCCACATTTAAAGCAATATAAAATGTCTGATTGGAAACTTCAACAGGAGTTGATATGGAAAGTTATGAATCACTCTACACAAGATTCTTCCAAAAATTAATATGTAAAGTTTAGTGGAAGAAAAAGGACTTTATCTGTAAGACATACTCCAGTTGAATCTGATGTACAACTAAAGGATAATTATGTATGAAGATACGTTGCGTACGGTGGTGGACCTGTGATGACGTGAACTTGTTTCTTTTCTCAAACTTACAAACTCTTTAAAACCCCACAGCATTTTAAATAAAACTGAAAGCAGTTTCAGTTTCCCAAATTTACACAGAAACAAACTCCTTCTGCCATGACCAACAGAGACAGAAATCCTATAGAAAACCTGTGAGGTGAAGAGCAGTGAGAAAAGGCCAGGCAGGATCTAGAGAGGCGGTTTGAAGAGGAATAGTCAAAGATCAACATGAAACATAAAGTCAAGGAGGTGCTTTCAGGTTGAGATGATGTTACTGCACTCAAAGCTAAACTTACTAGATCAACATAAGGGGAAAACAAAAACAAAAAAAAAAAAAAAACACACACACACCGGCCAAGTTATTTATTAATCTTTGCAAGACGATTTGGAGCACTAATCTAAAGAGGAAGCACAGGCGTGTGGGCTCCCTCATCTCTGACATAACCGCAGATTAAAAACTGGAGGAAGCAGCTGGGACTGGAGCAGATTGCGGAGGTCAGAACGCCTCCCCCGTTCAACCTCAAACTTTATAATGATCCAAAAATAGCAGGCAGATGAAAACAATCGCAAAAAACACGCAACGTAGAATAATTATTTCATCCCTGAGATCACAATGACGGATTTGGGTGGATCCCTGCCAAATTAGTTGCTCAAATGAGAGGAGATTGTCTGCACGCAAACCTCCGACGGCCGTGTGGGGATTGCAGGACGAGAAAAAGGAATGAAGTAAAGAATCGGATAAATCTGGAGAAGGCGGCGACTTCGTCGCGCTGAGCTGCAGAAACTGTTGGTCCAAAGGATTCCCGTTTAACAAAAACCCACATCGGCATAATGTGAACATCTGCTCTAAAAAAAAAAAAAAAAAAAAAAAATGGGGGTAGGCAGAGGCACTGCATCCTCCAGAGGAGGTTGTCATGGCAACCACATCCTCAAAGGCTACATGCCAACGCAACAGAGGGAGCTGGGTTATTAGGTCATGTCAAAATCACAATGCTCAGGGAAGCGTAATTAACTGGGTCATCGCTGCATATGGCAGGAAATCACATCTGAAAGCAGAGAAGAAGTGTTTCTTTAACGGCATTTATTGGTTTGGGGGGGGCACAGCGTGTTAGGATGCACACACTTAAGACCAGTAGACAGGACACAAAGGCAGCAGCATTTACAAATCTCATTAGGAGAAGAGCAAAAAAAGGAAATCTTTAATAGAGATGTAGGAACTATACATCCCAGTGCATAATCAGTAAAGCATTGACTCAAAAAAAAAAAAAAAAAGTCGGCACCAAAAAGAAACATCCAAGAAAATGCTTCCAACTTCTTCTAAGAGGCATTAACACCACTTTAAAAATCCAGAAAAACAAAAACAGAAAGCTTACAAAAAAGAAGTGCATTTGGTATAAATACAGATATGATAATTTCATCAAGGTGTTAAGGAATTGTTGTTACAATTTGTTGTGCATAATAAGAATAATTTTCCTGCACATGCCATGACGCGTTAAATTTTTAGAAAGCATAAGAATCTCACAGAATCCCCTTTTCTTAAATATATTAGGCATTAGGCATGATTGCAGAAAATAGATGATTTGCACTTTCATTCTGGCTAAATTGCAACATCTCTAGCTAAACGTGCAAGGCAAGAGTTCACAGGTCAAGGCAGAAAGAGGTGAAAAGGAATAGTGTATAAACATATTTCACAACTGCTTTGCGTGTTGGGACCAGTTTTCATGGAAACTGCAGCATCCAGAGCTTTAATTCAGGCAGGTGGTGAAGCACTTCATCACTGCATCTCTGCAAATAAATCACACAGAAACAGGTGTTTAAAACATCATTATTTCTGAAATAATAACCTGAATAAACAAACCAACTGAGTTCATCTCCATGAGACTAACATCCTTTTCCACCAGCGTTTGGGGTGCGGCTCGTCATGAATAAGTGAGCATGTTTTGACGGGGAGGAACTCCACGCTCTCAGTCGTGGGGTTCTCCCCAGCTCCAGGTGCGCCATGCTGAATGGTGATGCAACGTGGGAGCCTCACCATGGCAACCACGCATTGTTGCCAAATCCATCTCCTGCCTCTTTGCTTTTGCCATCAGCGTGTTGCTATGCAGACTTCACCTGACCAAGCTGTAAAACGCCGTCAAGGTGAAAAGGAGGCGCCGCCTGGGGGGGTTCAGGGGCCGACAGGAAACCAGTGGATCGTTTCAACATGGAGCCGTTCTTAACCCACGACTCCCCACAGCAACGCTCAGCTCACCCATCAATGGTTTCACTTATTTTTAAGCGACTGAAGCTAATTTTAGATCTCTATAAATAGATACATCTCGGCTTAACAGATTGTCAGTTTCAACCAGTTTAGATGTTCAGTAACGTTTGACATCACATTTGAAGCCACAAATCACAATAAAATGATTCTGATTCGTCAATGTCGTTTTGGCATTTAACTTGGCTCCATTTACAAAAAACCCCACTTATACTAAACATAGGCCTGTCACTATATAAAATTTTGCTGGACAATAAAACTGTCCCTGTAATTACTGCTATAAACAATAATATTGTTGTTTTGAGACCTTTTTCAATTTCTAAGGGAATAATAATGCAAAGATTGGTAAACTCTAATTTTGTAAAGAACACTTTCATCTGTAAATTTTAAATAATTATGAAACTCCACATTAAATATCTAAAACAAGCTTTTAAAAGCAACTAGCTTCAAACTATGTAACCTATCTTTCGTTATTTCGAAAACCCTCGCCTCATTCTACATGGTTTTTTTGTAATAGAGAGTTTATTTTATTCTAAAGTCTGGAAATAGAAATAAGTTTTAGTTTACTTTTGTTGGCTTTCATAATTAAACATTTCATGTAGCATATATTTAGAAAACATTTTTTTGCAGCTCGAGTTTTGCTTTGATTTAGATGATTTAAACCTCAATTTGTGATCTTTGACACATTTACTTTGTGAACTTAAAATGTACTTATCTACTTTTCATTGAGATCAAGCATTTTCATAAGTTATAGGGATAAAATTACTTAAATCATTACACTCTGCAGCTTTTCATTTAGATTCTGCTCCCTGGGTGAATCAGGTGTGTCTAATAATATTGAACAGATTATAATCCCCGATAAAACTAAAATAACTAAATACCTCACAAAAAACAGGTTTTAATTCCTGGGTTGTCAGAGCGTAACTTCACATTTACAAAGTCAAATTTTAAAGTTTGTGTTTAGAGTTTGCTATCTAAAGCAGACCTAATCAAACAGAGTCCATGAGTTCAACATTTACATTACAAAACTATTTTTCCATTATGCTTGACATTTAATTTGATTGCTTTGGAGGATTTTGCAACTCCAGTTTTTGAATGTCACTGTCCTGAAACATTCAGATGCTTCCCTGCTCCGACACACCTTAATCAAATGAACGGTTAATGACCCTTTGGAAAACTTCCTAACATGTCAAGGAGGTAATTCAGCCTTTAGATTCAGGTCTGTTGGATCAGAGGGGGACTGAAGTTGAGGACACCTGCCTCACAAGTTCAGATTTTCTGTTTTTCAGACACTAGAATAATGAATAAAATCTGAAAATTCATGTCAATTTGCTCAGTTTTTTTGCTTTCCATTCTTGAAAAATTACCAAATCTAATTCCGTCCTCTACAAGTTGCGTCGGAGCAACAGCAGCAGCCTAACAGGACTATAGGAAGTGCACATGCAGCAGGTTTTAGTGCCTCCATCTGTAAACCTTAGAGGTTATTCAAGGTAACAAGGTAAAACACATTAAGGGATCAAGCCTATTGGCCATGTGGTGCCGAGTCTCGACAGATATGGGTTAGAGACGGGGATGTAAAGGTTTAATAGGCACTCAAAGGAGATCAGTGCACTCCGCTGCTCTACAACAACAGTGAGGACGACAGAAAGCCAAATGATCAAATCAAAATTAAATGAAAAATGGATTACCGTAAGCAGCTTAGGGAGGGGGAAAAAAAAAAGGTTGACAAATAATAAAAACTGATCACAAGGACTTAGATAACTAACAAATAAATGTGTATTTCTTCAAAGGAATCTGCTTTTCAGGAGGCTGCTGCTCCTTTGTCTTGGTTTTGTTTTGTTGCGTTTGTGTTGGGGGAGGGGGATCTCATTGTGGTTACATGATGTCTCTCAGCTGTCAGGAGAGATTATAGGGGTCACCCAAACACACAAGGCACCTAAAGGGGGATGGGGGATCAGGACTGCTCACCAAATGAGACGTAACCCCACTTACAGCTGGACTGACAAAACGACATCACACCTTCTGCTCGGCTCAACCGGCGCACTCAGAGTGAACAACATTTGATCAGTTTTAAACAGGAAGAATAAAACGCATCTTTACACTGTGACTCATTTAAGTTTTCCAAAAGAAAAACAAAAACAAGGACTTAAGTCCAGACTACGTCTAATCAAAAATTTGCATCGAGCGTTAACCCTCGAGAGCTTACTATAAGCTCATTACACGCATAAAAGCTGAACTGAAGAAAAAATATTTGTCAAATCTGTCTGAAAGAGCTTTAGGCCACTAAAAATCTATTTATTTTGATATTAGGAACATATTAACATTGCAGGGCTAATGCCTAGAAAGACAAAGAAACAAACAGCTGCCATTTGTTTGACACAGACTGGTCACACTGGTCGTAGTGGGCTGGATTAGAGCCATATGGTGGAAGCAAACAGTGGTAAATAAAAACATGTTTTCAAAGACGACTCTCGAAGCAAATTCCTCCCGTTTGTTGTGTGTGCAGTCATTAGAGAATATCCGTGTTGTTTCTGACAAGACTTCAATCAAATGACGCGAGTGGGAGGCTTATTTTTAACATCTGAACAGCGTTCAGGAAGGACAACATTAATATGGACATTATGAAAGGTCACATGCAGAGGGAGCATCAAACTTACCTGGCGAAAGGAATGTAAGAGATGCTATACCTGAAAACACAAAAACAGGACATAATTACTGATTATAGCTACTACAGCACTTTACACAACTTTGTACTGAAAATGTATTTTGATTATATTAAGTAGCAAATCCATTTTTACAGAATGGAGTCGGCTTGTGATTTCTAAAACAAGGATTTAAAACTAAAATGTAACTTTTGCAAGTTGCTTAGCCTCAGTAAAAAAAAAGTGTGTCCTTGAAATGTAGTTCATAGCAAACTATTAATAGAAAAAATCTTTATTTAATCATAAAGCATTGCAAAAGTATTCAAACCCCGTTAATTTTGTCACATTGTGACACTTTACAGCCATAAACTTCAATGCAACTGGTTTGGATTTTAAGTGACACCAATACAATGTAAAGCAAGATTGTAAATGGGAGGGAAAATGATACATTTCATATGGATTTACTGTAATCATTGGATTAAGTGTTTGACAGACTTAAACTTCAAACATAATTTGAGCTCTTATTTTAATCTTAAGAAGCTTTTTTTTTAATTATTAAAAATCTAAATATGTGAGCAAATGACAAAATAATCAACCAAAGACTGGACGACTTCTTAACCCGTCTTGTTAAGCAGATATTTAACCCGTCACAAAAGAAAAGCAAAGAAGATTCTTTCTTTAGCAGCTCCTTTTGTTGTGAAGCTTCTCACTCAGTCATGAATTAAGTTCAGTTCTCAGCCTGACAAATGAACTTTACCCAGTTTTCTGAGGGTCGGTGGTGACTTCTTACAAAACAACGCTCACACGTCTGAGTGTCTGTGTGGGAGTGCGCCAAGCGCGATATGTGTGACTTGTGGGTGCCATGGCAACGCCTCTGAGGACATAGGCTGACAGGAGACGAAGGTAGGAGAGACAGGAGGGGCTGCAGCAGAGATCCATCACCTTCTTGAGCAGTTGCAGCTGTTAGCTACTGGAGTCACACTGATTGTTAAACTACTGGTGGAAAATCTTCTTAATTCCAACATTTTACATGCTTAATGTTCCTAAATCGGACATTTATTTAGCATAAATGACATCAATATGTAGCTGCAGTAAATATAAATCTGCATTGTTGTAGGAAGGTGTTGCTTCTGTTTTTGTGTCTTTTCATCATTTCTGATCAACTTCTGTCACATCACAGCATGATGCTGCCTCCACCACAGCATGATGCTGCCACCACCACCACCTTTTGTATGAACCTTTGTTCATACAAAAGTTTGTATGAACTTTTTGCATACAAACCAAAAAGTTCAACTTTGTTGAATCATTAAATGTTGTCAGTGAACAATAACCTGAGTGAATACAAGAAGTTCTCAAATTTATTACAGCTAAGGACACTATCCAAACCAGCCAGGATTTATGTGAAAAAGTAATCAAATTACTTGTCTAGAACCAATTTGACAACATGAAGTAGGCTCCAATATCATAAACGGTGAAACATCCTGTCTCAATGTTACAGCTCACATCTGAATGGTTCAAAAGAAATAAATAAATAGTTTTAAAGTCTCAAATTAACTTGTATTGATTAGGATGATGTGTCATGACCTTAAACAGGATG